AACTACAGTGTCCATAAAAAAAATACTAACAAAATTTTAATAATTCATACAATAAGCTTCCCGAAAATATATAGTTTTGTGGACAAGGGAGGTCATCCTGGTTTCCTAATTAACTAATTAAAATACATGTCAGGTAAACTGCGTCTCTACCTTAAACGTTGTCTGACGAAGAAATGTTCCACACATATTCTATTAGTTAATGTCACTAGGCTGTAGTATGTTAAGTGTACAGTAATTGCGGGTTCAGGATGCATGCAAGTATAACTAAATGATGTATACATTGAATAGAAGTGAATGAGTATTACGATCTAATAATGCATGCTGTGATTGGTTGAAACTCAGAAAGGTGAACAGATTGTAGAACAAAACTTACATTACATTACATTACACTACACTACAGCTCAGAGGGTTCAGGACAATGCAATTCTAATTAATCTAATTAATTGATGATTACATGTAGCCAAATTATTCACAAGTAATTTATCATTTTTGTTGTAAGGTTATTTATTGGTAGATTTCGCACATCAGCTCGACAAATGAATTACAGTTTTTGGTGAAATTCAAGACAGTCGCCGTCAAATCTGTCAAGTTACCGATTCAAATGTATATGCAGCTTATATAACAAACATACCCCGAAGAAATATGTATATCTCAAAAATCGAAATATTTTATTAGACATTGCCTATGTTTATCAACATTAATCATGACAATAGGTATCAACGATTGACATTCTTCTAGAGTAAGCCCTAAGGTGAGTTTGTTGCATTTCTTCTAATGGCCCTGTGGAGTTAAAATTCCCAAGTGAATTGTAAAAGGCTGTTCGATCTATGCTAGATTATGGTACAATATATCGATACTGGACAGATATTGTTTCCAATGGCCTTGTTATTTAAAATCTCCGATACTGCCGATGGATACTATGAGGTTATTACGATAATACCGCAAAGTATACACTAAGGCATTATCGACCATCTGGTAGCGGAAATCGATGCGTTACCGTACATACTTTATGCATATCTTGCGGTATTTTCGTAATAACACATTGTTATAAATTTTTCCCTGCTTGTACTATTAATTTAATGAGAGGTAGAGGCCCAATATGCCAACAAAGAACGTTTTGCAGTGTCGGAACGTTCTCGTTCTGCGTCTGAAGTAAACACAGGAAAATGTTCAGATTTGACGTAAACGTGGCTCACAATTATATCGAATAAGGAAGACATTCGAATAACTCTGTGCGACATTTTACGGGCAGGTGAATTCTATTGTTTTTGATGATGTATAATAATGTACGATATTTAATTATAATATATTTTTTGAAAATAGTTTTTTTCTCTAAGTCGCGAAATGGTATGATGATACCCATTTATTTTGTAATTTTCGACATTAATCTATTATAATAGTATGGAGAAATTATACTTAAACTTTACTTAGCAACAAATTAATTGAAGCATTTGTTGTTGTGGGTGCTGAAAAGCAGTATCTGGTTCTATGGTAGCAGGTATTTAGAAGAATGACTAATAACAGGTGTCAATCTTTTGAACATGTCTACCAGAGGGGATAAATTTGAAGCCATTCACTATTCTTACTCTGTTTATGATGTAAAACCGGGACATGATTGTTTAAACATACTACCTACTTCCAATGCATGAACCAATGAGTGATAAACATAATAAAATCTCAGAACAATTACTAAAGAATTGAACTACTGGTTTACTGCCACAAGTGACTGTCATTGTACTAGTACTTGAAACAACATAGTGATTACGTTACGAGCTATTCAGAGCAATATTTAAAAGATGACGATTACTCGCCTAATATACTGGTAAATATAACCATTAATGTACCATATATCTGGCGAAATAGTTTATATAGTTGTTGATTGCCACTGTATTAGTTAAGACTGTGTTATATATTGCAATATCGGTTAATGTGCTTGAGCAGGGGAGGGGGGTCATCTGTACTATTACGAGAGACGGAGACCAACAGTGGTTTTCAGCAAGTTTTATAATTGTATGTTACATAATAATGTAATAGCAAACTTCATTGTACTGCTTTATGTGCGTTAATAATAAAAAATGATAAATATTGCATTGATAATTGTGCTAGGGTTTGCATATATTGCTATAACAACTTTATTATTTGTGGTGAAACTGTGATATTCAGGGTAAGCCATTTGTTTTAGAATTATACATGACGTCAT